ACTTTATAGCAGTTTTAATGCAGTACACAAACCCTTTGTATGAGACACTAGAACTCCATGCAAAATCATCTGGCAGTAACTTCTGTCTAGCTCTCCAGGACACTCTTCTCCAGTAAACTCTTCACCCCTGGTGCTCCACTCCAAACAGCATGGTAAAGCTCAAATTTTTATATTTCTTACACTTTTTTTCTTTCATGGGTGAGGGGTCTGTATCTGGTCAGGCGAGACCTGATCCAGATCCCCCATGGAGCTATGCGAAGACCTGGTCCAGAACCCCCATGGAGCTATGCGGAGACCTGGTCCAGAGCCCCCATGGAGCTGTGCAGCCGCAGTAGCTTCTAATAGTTATCTATTGCTGGATTCAATCAACCAGCAATAGATCACTATAGCAATGATCTGTTACTGCAGAGAGATGCTGGATATAGTTGCAACATTCCTTAGCGTAAGTGCTATAGCATAACTCATGATGCCACACCCCTTCCACTATAAAGGCAATAAAGAAGAATTCTTTTTACAGTGATCTGTTACTTGGGTTACATCATCACGCAAAATTCAGTGGTGCCAGTCACAGGAAGTCTCAGGGGATGTGCATTTTATATGCCTTTCTGTGATGCACATCAAAATGTAAGTGTTTTTAATTTCTTTTAATAAATGGATGGTTTTATACATAAAGTGCTATGGAGTGCCCGCCGCTGGAGGATAATGGAGAAGGAGATTGAGAGTTCCATTTCCTTAAAGGGCATGAGCTGTAATTTGAGTTGTATACTATATAGGTCAATATCCACAGGTGAGGGCATAGTTTGCACATTGGTGGTGTTCTCTAGACATGTGCACGCTGGAAATCTTTATTCATTGAAGAATTTCATTTTACCATACTCATTATGTGGAACTGATTAGTTTTCGAGATTCTTTTCATATCTTCAGCATTATTTTCATATTTTCGTTGGTCCTAGTGGATTTTATCCCTTTGAGCCTTCTTTTGAAGAAGTCCTGAATGAACATAATGCATAAGGAGGGTGAGCTTGTGACAGAGAGGAGAGAGATGTGAGAAGCCGCCATCGTATCTCTTGCCGATAAGCCGATATACGTTTTCTGTGTAATTCTTTATGAACTGCCAATAAATGTTTACATACCGTATTACACTATTGGGGCATTTGCATTCATATCTTTCATGAGCAAATTATACTTAATTAATTACAGATTCAGTGTTTGAGATGAGGAATCCAGGAGCTGCAGAGATCTGTAAAGCGTTAGTAGACCTCACACACACTTACAGGTCCACCTAAGGAGGTGAGGGCGCACCTAAATAACACTTGATGCATGGAGAGTGTGGAGGACACTGTGGGCAAAATTAAGTGATCACAGGAAAGTGGAAAAGTTGCACAGTGGTGAAGGTCTGGAGTATTTTTATGAACTTTGAGACTGGAAAATTTTCATTTGGACACTGGAATTTATATAAAAATGTTTGGATCATTTTTTTTTATATGAAATTCACTTGGAAAATTTTTTTTTTAGTTATTTGAATTATGTGCAGTATTATTGTCTTTGCATAGAGTATGTTAATTTTGTGGTAGTATTAGGATCAGTAACTTTATTTGAAAAAATGCTTCACTCTATTGATTCATTGAGTAACAAAGGTCATTGTAAAACACAATGACAAGGCTATAAGGGTAGAGGAGCACAAGAAACTGGGTTGCAGTTATCACATGTATTTAGGAAAAAAAAGGTCAAACAGAGAATATATTTTTTTAATCAGGAGTTGCTACAATCATTTACCTTAACCAAATATAATATTTCCCTTTATTATATTTAGCCTGGGTATAATGGCCTCCATTATATTAGGATGAGTGCCAGTGCAAGACTTTCTTAGAAGGAATGGTCACAGAGAAGGTAGGGGGAAGTCTTTTGCATCCGCAGAGAGACAGCAGTAAAAATTTTACAGCAGTTTAAACCCTCCCAAAAAGGTTTTCACTGAAGCAGCTATCTAATAGGGGTTGACAAAATTTCCTTTTAAGACCAGTAAGGCATTAAGAACATTACAACACCATTGAACAGTAGGTCTGAAATGGCTTCATCGGTACTAACACATAGTGTTTGCCTTGCTTTGCACTTCAGCATGTCTCAAAGAACATGGTCTAGGCTCCAGCTGATGCTATCGGTGTGATCACCAACATGGTTGCTCCTCCAGTGGGGCCCCATGATAGGAGAACATTTAAACAGCAGAAGTGCATTTGAAAGAGTAGATGTGCATCTGGCCTTTACAGACAGAAGATGTGCACCATCCATGAAGCCAATCCAATGACGCTACACCCACACAACTGTCCAGAGTCCTTGAGACACCCTTGCTGATCCATTCAGCCATAGACATAATAGCAAGAAAACAAATCTAAGCCTGCTTTAAATGTCAGAATTTTTAACTCACGGTTTAAATTTCAAAGTACATATAATCAGGATTTTCCAAACAGGGCATAGCAAAACCCACAATCTGGGATTTTATGTCAACGGAAAGGAACCCATGTGCTACTGAGATAAAGAAAAGGGCTAAAAGAAAACTCAGCAGCTACAAAGCAGTCACTCAGCACCTGATGAACTCTCAGAAGCTTCCATACTCCAGTAAATGCGGTTTGGTGATAGCTACAGGCTTACACAGGACGGTTTACTAGAAAGGAGATACCTAGCTCTGCATCATGTGTCTGTACAAGAATAGTGGAGAACGTCCGCAGGCAGAGGATTCACAGGACTGTTTGACAACATTACACAAAGCCCTCTTTGATCCTTCATTACCTGGAACATCATCTCTGTGTGTCTTGTTTTGGCATGGACTGCTAGATTATAGCATACAGAGACTAGGTGGTATTGTGTGCACCGTCCTGGTCTTTTCATAGAAGAAAGAAATTCATGCATTTCTTAGATTCATATTTTGCTCTACTAAATGCAAATATATACAGAAAATCAACTGTTGGGAAATATTAAACATTAAACTGATTTTAAAATTATAGATAGATAGATAGATAGATAGATAGATAGATAGATAGATAGATAGAGATTTTAACTAGTTGTTGCTCAGTGTATGCTTACCTTATTATAGATCAGAAATAGGTTTCTCAAAAATGAATGTGCCTATACTGTATATTCTATTACTATAATATAATGTTATACTCATAGGTGTGCGAAGCCTATTGCATTAGGATTTGTATGCCAAAGCACATGCGTAGCTGTGTATATATAGACACATACTCTTATAAATAAATGTAAACAAACATTTTAATATGTACTAAAACATGGACGGTGTCAGTACAGTGAAATTTGGTGTTAGTAGGACAGTAGATGGTGTCAGTCAGTAGAGCAGTGGACGGTGTCAGTAGGGCAGAGACTGGTGACAGTGGGGCAGTGGACAGTGTCAGAAGCTTTTCATTTTTATTATTATTGTTTTATTATTTTTTACAATTTTATTCTTTTTGCTATTTTTTTTTTAATATTTTTATACACTTTTTTTAGGAGCCCCATTGGCAGGCCTTGGTGAAATATCAGGGGTCTAAACAGATCCGTGATGTCTCACTTTTGAAACAGAAAAAGTTACTTAGAACAGAGATTCCCTAGTCCCCCTCTGCAGCCTCAGCTGCACTGGACAGTGAATGAATGGGAAGCGTTCTGCGCTACGTGGCTTCCTGTTCATTCACAAACTGAGCAAAGTAATCACAGTTTACTATGCTTCAGTTATGAATGAACACAGGGGGGGATCTGCACCACACAGGGTGATTAGGGTGTACCCAGTCATATCTGGCACACCCCATGCACACACCTATGGTTACACTACTGTAAAATCTGTTCTCCTTCTATACATCCAGGCTTTAGTTCTTTCTAAGTCCTTTGTACTATATTGCATTCTGACAATTGCATAAGCATTATTTTAATTCTGTATTCTGACTTACCCAACATACCCAACAGGAAAGTGTTGCTTTGATCTTGGGTCAGTAACTCTGGTTCCTCTTTTTTGATGCTTAATAGCACACAGCACAGGCAGTCTCAGTGTTATTTTAGCTTGTGTGCAAAGAAGGGGACATATAGAGCCCAGCTCTACCTGTGGAGAGAGCCCGGAAGGTTTAGAACCTCTGTCAGGTTTTTTTTGCTGTCTCTGTCACCCTTAAGGGGATCTCCCCTCACTTCCTGTTGAGAGAAAAAGTCATGGCCAATCACTCCAACATTTTTTTATTGCTATGAGTATCTTCCTGTCTCCCCAGTGGGGACACAGACAAAATAATAATTTGACAAAAATCATAACTCTTCCTATTCTCTCCAAAATTAAAACATGATTTAAATATAGAAACATTGCCTATAGTTGCAGAAATAAATATGGTAAAGGTTTTTAATGGTTTTGTAATCATTTTAAAGTGTAAGTTTTAGGCCCCTTTCACATGGACAGACACGGGCAGATCTACTTGCTTAGTGCAGGATCTGTCCGCTAATCCCCCCTGAGCAGGCAGATGACAGCTCCATGTCTGCTTCACGTATGGCGCAGAGCGGACACAGACACAGCCCGCTCTCCTCTAAGATCCCCATCCTTTGTTTTTTTTTTTGCAGATAGGACAGGCAGGGCCAGTGCTTCCACTAGGCAAACTAGACAGCCTCCTAGGGCGCACTGCCACCTAGGGGTTCCTGGGTGTAGCACAAGCCAGAACTCTATCTGTGTGAGAAGCCGCCACCTCATGAATGATCCTTCAGTTGAGGGGAGGGGCAACAGAGGGGAGGAAGAAAGGACAGAGGAAGATGCCAGATGTCTGGGGCCAGTGTAGCAGCTGAGCTGCAGCTCCTTCCAGTGTTCCTCTCAGACTCATTCCCTTACTGCAAGCCAGCTGGTTGCTGCTGATCACTGTGGAGTTCCAGCCCTTCTCTTCCCATTCATCAGCAGAGGTGGAGCTGAACCTGTGGAGGGAGGTAATATCTGACTCTGATGTTTCGTGTCTGTGTGAGTATGACCAAGCTGGCCGGCCATCCATCACATGTGCAATGTGTCGGTGAGTTATAACATCATCACGATCCCACAGCCTGCTCTTCTAGTGCCTTCTGGGCTTGCTGATCTGTGTCAGTGTTGGTGTGTTGTGTCAGATCTGTCACTGTGTGGGATCGCTCAGTTCAGGTGTTCTCTGTGTGTTTGGACTGGGCTGCCTGATGTCACAGTGTTTTATCTCCCCCATTGCCTGGGGAATTCCAGCCTGAGATCTGTCAGAGTGTGGATCCATCATCCTCCACTCACTGCAATTGTCACCCTGCCACTGCCAGCCACAGATACAGTCCATCCGTGACACTGATTTTCTCTTTAATATTGGTGATGGTGGCATCTTATGGCACTTATTTTTGCAAATTAAAAGAAATTTAGCAGTTTCATGTTTTGTTAATTTAATATTTTCTACTGTTTTTACAAATTTGTATTCATTTTATTTTTTTGAGGGGGGGGGGGGGTGCGAGTAGCTGGTCTTGCCTAGGTTGTAAAATAGTCTAGCACCGGCCCTGAGGACAGGCGGGTGTAAAAGGACACATGTCTCCGCTCCACAGAGGGAAATGGATGGTCCGATCAGGCCCGCCTTAAAAAACAGTTTGATTGGTCCGTCCATGTGAAAAGGGCCGAAAGATTTAAAGTTCATCAGCTTCACAGGAGTTTAAAAAAGAGGCACAGAATGATGTCACTTGTAGAAAGGCATTTGATAATGACAGTTTTATAAACAGGACAAAATATTTGGCTTAATAGTAAATGCCTGACACTTAAACTTTAGCATTAACCCACCATAACACCGGTGAAAGGCTTTCTAACGGTACAGATCTTTTTTACCATCGTTACTTTTTTTTCACTTTAGAAGTTTTTTTCACCACCTACATTGAGTCATATTACAGAATTTGGGATGTGTGATTAGCGTGAGATGTGAAAATTACACAAAAGGTATAGTATGTAAAAGGTGTGATTATGCCATAGTGCCACATAATGCAGCTGTATTTTTGGATAATTCACACAAATAAATGTATCATTTATTATAAATTACAAACCTTGTGTAGTATTTTTTTTGTGACATCTTTGGAACCTCTCAGTCTTTCAGCAGCAGATGTAGGAAGCAGCCTTGCAGCACTCACTAACTGGGCCAGTTTGCGCACCAATTTGACCACCCACTGTGCATTCACCATAAAGCATATGGAGGCAAGTGGATTTGGTGGATGGCCCAGCTGCACAGGACAGCTACAGACCAGGCACAAGAATGGTTCTCCATGTGTAACCTTTGTCTGGTCACAGCAGCATCCAGAACCATAGTTCATTGGATAAGCCAATGACACCAACAATTGTTCTGGAATTTCAACTCTATGGGTTTGATTTACTAAAACTGGAGAGTGCAAAAATCTGGTGCAGCTGTGCATGGTAGCTAATCAACTTCTAACTTCAGCTTGTTCAGTTAGGCTTTGACAAAAAAAACCCTGGAAGCTGACTGGATTCTATGCAGAACTGCACCAGATTTTGCACTCTCCCAGCTCAGTAAATCTACTCCTATGCAGGGGCGGACTGACAGCTCATGGGGCCCCTGGGCAATAGGGGATCCTGGGGCCCCTGTGCCCTTGCCCACACTCAAACCACACCCAAAAATCCTAAGAAAGTTACCAGGGGCATCTCACGGGGCCCCCTTCTGACCCCAGGCCCTCGGGCAGTGCCCGAATTCCCAAATGGTCAGTCCGCCCGTACTCCTATGTGTTAATAACTACTTTTTTTTTTTTCTAGAATGGTATTCATATTGACATCAGCAGCAGCTGGTATATTTATTTTTATAATAGATTTAATGTAGAAGGTTTAGGTTTGTTTAACCCCTTCCTGCCGACCGTACGCATATATGCGGTGTCGCAGAACCAGGCTTTTTTTGTGAGGCCGCATATATGCGTAACTGTCCTTGTGCATGGAGTGTACCTGGAAGCTGATTGGTTTTGGTGTAGAGCTGCATCAGATTTTGAGCTCTCCAGTTTCAGGAAATCAAGCCCTATTAGTTTACATGTTCTCAAATATACTCAGTCTCCATTATTGTTTCTTTGGGCCGTTACAGTCACATTATCATAATTGTAAGTTTTTCTGCTTTCTGGGAGAGCTGATTGTTTTAAAGACTTCCATATTAAATGGATTTTCAATTTAAAGCAGCAGTACAATAGTATTTTTTCTTGTATGTGGCATTCCTTTTTTTCAGGTGAGCGTGCACTGGAAGAAGGGGAGGATCAGAGAAGTCAGGATCAAACAGCGTTTTTACACAATGCAGAGGATTAACTCCTTAGGTTCCACAGTGAGTATAACAAGCATGTTTTAATACATATACAGACTGATTTTACTGTTGTGGGTTTAGTAACACTTTAAAGTGTAACTAAAGCCAAAACCTCTTTTTTCATTTTAGATACAGGAAGAGAGGCTTATAACCCATGTGGTTTTTTTTCACCATCTGTGTTCCTTTGGGGAGATTTTCCCTCACTTCCTGTCCTATAGCCAAACAGGAAGTGAGAGGAAATCCCACCAAAGTGAGGAAATTTAGATGTGTCACAAGGATCACCAGAATGAGTGTCCTTATCCGAAGATTGTCCCTTTTAATACTCTGATGTCAACTCAAAATTTGGGGTTTTCTTTTATTATTACTTTCAATTATAACAGTAAACAGGACAAATAGAAAAGGTGATTCTCCCTTAGGGGGGCATAGACTGCAAAGAAAAAACAAACAAACAACTGACAGATGTTCTAATCCCTCTCCACTCTATCCACAAATTAAAAAAAAAGTTTTGCCTTTAGTTTTACTTTAATAGTAATACAGTATTTTTATACAAAAATGTGTTGTTTACTATATCTGATAAACTACTGGTCATGCTGGAACATATTTATCTTTACAAAAATATTTAAGGTATTTAAATGACTGTCTTTGATTTCTTTATATACTTGTATGTTTTATAGTGTCATATTTATGTTGTCATTCAACTACTTCCCATGATTTATAGCCAATTGTTGGACATTGTTTTCTTGTTATACTTTATAAGGTTCATATCATAGCTGTTGTTAAGCTATTCTTGTAATACTGATGAAGGGTTTATATTTCTATTTATGAAGGATTATGTATCTAGTCTTTATGAAGAAGGATGTATGAAGACCCAAAAATGTGTTCCTTTTTAACTATTATGATAATTAACAATTTCATGAGCTGTTTACCATGCACCTAACTTTCCCTCCTCTTTACTATACTGTCCCATGGAATAACTTTTGGGCTTACTGAATTATAGAGAGCTGCATCTGATCAAACTAACTTTAGAAATCTAGAATTGGGACATTTATCTAGACCAGGGTGTCAAGGTCCTACCTTTCTTCAGAGCTTGTGCATCTCCATGAGCTGGCATCCATCTTGGTTTTCTGCAAAGCATGGTGGGAACCTTTATGCCTTCAGGCTTCTGCGGCTCCTCCTCAGAAGGGTGTGGTTGAGCACATTTAAACCTGCTGTCTGCAAGTGTGCTCTGCACTTATGTCCTGTATGTTGCCCTGTTGCAAGCTCTTGTGTTGTTCCCATTGCTCTCCTGGTAACCGACTCGGCTTTGACAAGACTATTCTCTGTGTTAACCCTTTACCTGACCTCCCGTTGCTGAACCCGGCCCGTGACCTGAGTATTCTTTGCCTACCGTCTAGTACTGTCTGCTCCGTTGTTATTGACCCGGCTTGTCTGACTACTCTACTCGTGTTCCCATCTAGCTCCCACCAGCTGTACGCCATTGGCGGCAGTTGTTATCGCAGCTGGGGTCACTCGGGGGCCGCGACCTGGTCTCAGGCTGCGTCAAGTCCATCCCCACCATCAGGGGCCCTGGTGAAGGGTAGCCTGGGGCTTAGACTCCGCGCCCTGAGGGACTCCGGTCTGTGGGTAGTGGCTATCGTCAGTCGCAGCGTGACCGTACCATAGGCCTGCCTGCCCGTTCCAGCGTTCCTGCCCTGACATTACACAAGTGCCATGAATCCTGACGGTGCAGGTACGCCTTCGATCCCTATGTTACTCGCCAGACTTGACCAACAGGATCGCTTGTTGGATCAGTTTGCTCAGGCATTGCAGGCTCTGCTTGCACGCACAGCGCACCTTACTCCTGGGGCTATTAGGTCAGTTGTTACTCCGGTGGACTCTCCCACTGTTGCTCCGGTTGTTGCACCTACCTCCGCATCTGTTGCGGAACCCGTGGTACCAGAGGTATGACTGGTTCTGCCCCTCTTCCTCAGCACTTTGGGGGGGAACCGAGTCAGTGTCGTGGTTTCCTTAACCAAGTGGGGATTTACTTTGAATTAATACCTCACGCTTTCCCTACTGAGAGGGCAAAGGTGGGCTTCCTAATCTCGCTACTCTCTCTGATAGGGCCTTGGCCTGGGCTAATCCCTTATGGGAGAGGAATGACCCGGTGATTCACGTGTTTACCCGTTTCGTTGCCTCCTTCCGTACGGTATTCGACGTGCCCGCTCGCTCCACTTCTGCTGCCAAAATTGCTCATGTCCATGCATCAGGGTTCACGAACAGTTGCCGAGTACGCCATCGAATTTCGTACTTTGGCGACAGAGGTGGGTTGGAACAATGAGGCTCTAGTGGCTGCTTTCTCTCATGGTCTCTCTGATGCGTTGAAGGACGAGATCGCAGCCAAAGAACTGCCTATGGAGTTAGAGGCACTCATCTCCTTCCTAATCTTGATTGACACCAGGCTCAGAGAGAGGCCTTCATTTAAGGAGCGTCTGCGGAGGCCTCCTAACCGTTTGGCGCCTACGTTTTCTGTCCCACCCGTGCCTCCCTCTCCTCCCACGCCTCCTGGGGATGGTTTGTCTGGTAGTGAGCCCATGCAGCTGGGGTTTGCTCGCCTTTCCGAGGGGGAGCGGGCCTCTCGGCGTCGGGAGGGTCGCTGCCTGTACTGTGGACTCGGGGGGCATTTTAGGCAGTCCTGTCCGGTCCGTCCGGGAAACGCCCGCACCTGAGATCCTGTCGGGGGCAGATCTTGGGTGGAGTTTCCTCGTCCCCGGTTTCCCGTAAAGATAAACCGCTTATCACCGTTGTCCTCTCTTGGGCAGGAGGCTCGGTGACGGCCCAGGCGTTGGTAGACTCTGGGGCTGGCGGTTTGTTTATGGACAGTTCGTTTGCTGCCCAGTACTCCATTCCTATGCAGGCTCGAGAGACTCCATTGGTTCTCGAGGCGATAGATGGCAGGCCCTTGCAGCCATCGCAGGTTACCCACGAGACCCTGCCTCTGGAGGTAGCTATTGGGGCTGTTCACAGGGAATTGGCCTGTTTCCAGGTAATTTCTTCCCCGCACTACTCTGTGGTTTTGGGCTATCC